TCTCTTCTTTATGTATTACCCCTTTGTTGAATTTCTGTGCAATTTACAGCGAAAATGTGCATGTTCTGAAAGGTGTAGAAGAAAGATGTGTTATGTTTCAAATGTTTGTAGAAATAAGCATTACTGTATAGAAGGCTGGCTGATGTTAATGCTCATCACTGTGATATTAAAATAGGATAATGTCACGATTATACTAAAACCTCATAACTCTGTTTAATATGGCATTTGAGAGTGTCAACTGGGCTTAACATTGAACCAATAGAAAAGGTCCAAAATTTTGAATAAAATCTTGTTACAGTAACAACCAAATTTAAGCGAGTGTAAAGTTACCATTTCCAGGAGACAAGGTTTTGTTATGACAGTATGGGACAGTGCTAAACCACGATGGACTAATACTATGGTTATTTCTGTAATTGGTCATAAGCAGCATTTCAATTTTGGAAAAAAAATCACGTATTGCGCATTTAAGGTCAACATGAATCAGAAGTCATAACACATTTACCTTCTGTACCATGACATATTTCAGAGTGAAACACAATATCTCTTACCTAGCTGTGTGTTTTTGCTCAATAATAGGTGGAGGTGGTGGGAGGGGGAAGTGAAACTTGATATTATTGTTTACTATTTTTCCCCGCCCATGGTGGCGCAGTGATATATAATAAGAGGCAGACAAATTGAGATAGTAATAATGTAAATATATACAAAGTCATTATTTGTAGGGCACTTTCTATTGGAAGGTGGCTGTCCCAAACCCTAGCTCCTACTTGTGAAAATAATACTTAAGTGTTTTTGAATTTTTTCTAAATGTGTTCTTTTTAATATCTTTTTGATTTCTTTTAAAGTGCAGTTAAAAGATTTGGATTCATCATGTGTTTAATTTTTAAATAAAAATACTTTATTCAAAAATGCTGTCCCATGTTTTCATGTCACAATCGAAACACAAATAGTTTTAGTCCATAGGCAGAGCCCTATTTTAGCCACACCCCTGCATTTTGGAGCAGGATGTGAGACTGTATCCCTGTCTCTTATGGCCACATGGTGAGCAAATAGATTCCATTGTTTTAAGTAAATGTGTCCCAAAGTCAGAATTTGTGTTTCAGATTTTTCAAAGCTGTGTTTGCTAGTCATGTATTGGCTAGCATTTTTGGGTTATGCCCGAAATGTTTACACTTTTTAAAGTTTTGTTAGTGTTATGGTTGTTTTGGTAATGATAAAATGGAATTTTGAATCAGTTATTTTTAATAAAATAAACATAATTAGGGCATAGTGTTGCTCAAAGCAAAAGGATTTTGGGCCCAAGTAGTCTCAAATGTGTCTTGAACCAGAATAGAATAATCCATATATAGTTTAAGGTAGAGTGTAGAGTGGATTTCCTAACAAACTGCTCATACTTCTCTCAGTCTTTAACAGTTTTATTATTATGCAATGTAAAGATCAGCAATATTATAGGTTTGTACTGTAGATATTGTAGTTATCTTTATCTAAAATGTATCTGTGATCATCAGAGGCACTCGTACATACACCCACATACCTCTGTCTGAAGCAAGGAGCAGAGGTGTAATTCACTGCTATGTGGCCAGTGGTCCACTCCACTCATGAGCGCCACGTATTTAATGTGAGCGATAAATAGGAGTTGGTTTAACAGTTGGGCAGAGAGACTTGTAAATTTTCTCTGTGATTCGCAGTCTCAGAGGGTTTAATTAAGTCCACAGACTCTGCTTTAACATGATGAGGCTCACTCTACACCCCTCCGTAACATGGCACACCCGGAATGCCCCACCATCTCAAGTCCACAGGCCTCAGGAGAACCGAGACGCTAGACGAAGCTTAAAGACTCAGAGACGGCCATCTCAGATGGTATAACAAGTCAACGGAGAATTGGCTGATATCATATCAATTTGGTCCGGCGGTTTCTTCTGGTAAAGAGCTCAGATATATTATACTAGGGACATGTGGGAATTTGTAATTGCCATTTTATTTCAGGTGCCTCATACATCTTAATGAACATTTTGAACTTATTTGTTTATAAATGATTAAAGTTTAATGAATTCTCATTTCTCTTAATTACCTTTGTTTACATATTGCCACTGTTATGAGAAACATTTGTGTCTGTAGAACCGTAACTTTATAGGTGAAGGGGGAAAAAAAATTGTAACTTTAATATCAGTTAGTGTAACAAGAAATAATAAGTAATTTTGAACCATTTCTGTTGGTCCACTCCTAATGAAATGTTAACACATGAAATGTAAAAAGTCAACTGTGAAAGTGTAAAAAATTGACTGAATGAACCAAAACCTTGCCACACAGATTAAGCAACTCTGTGGTGATATTTTTGGTCGTTCAATCAATTTCTTGTCACAATTAGGACATTCCAACATTACTGACACACTGTAGCATGTCATGAATAGGTTACACCTGTCTCAGACTGAGCAAAACCTACCCACAGCTAAATGTTAATTTATTTATTTGTTTAAATCTCACCTTTTTGTCTAACACTCCCTTTGCCCTAGGTTCCAGTAATCCATTACAAAGGTGTAAACATCTGTTTGTTTTGAAAAAAAATTGCTTTCTTAATGTACAATATTCTATTGTGTCTACATTGTAACAGTTTTTACTTTTTGTGTAAGATTTGTTTGTTTTGTTTGTAAAAACATACTTGAATCATGATTTTTTTCTCTTTTTCTTTTAAGCCACACTATATCAGCATGCATCATGCAAAACCAGAAGTAGTCCCTATACATGGAAGGGTAAACATCACTGTCAGTCATTACCCCTGGACACTGGCCCTACTGGCATGGCCAGTAATCCATCCTTGGGATTGTGTACCATATACTCATAGTTATGAGTATATACTCATAGTTATATCTTCTTTCCAATGTAGGAAACTGCAAGTAACACTTATATATGTATGTGTTCGTATAATGCTAGTTAAAACATGGAACATAAAAACAAATCACTGTTTGTCCAATAATTGTTAATTAACCATTATTATGGATTGTTCTTTTTTCTTCATTTTGAAGCCATGTGTAATATAGGTTGGGTGTATATGAATACTGTGAATGTATATAGCAAAAATTCCAGCTGGCGCTAAACGAACTAGAAATGAATCAGTAGTAAAGGAATATGGAAGTGGATGCTACTCTTAGTAAAATGGGGAGGAAGAATTGAAATTGAATAGATATGGAGCCAAAAAGGAAATTCACAGCTCAAGCAAATGAGAAACTAAGTTAAGTTTATTTTGCCAAGCTACAGACTGCCTTCACAATACTGACTGATAACGTCCCTTATAGTAACCTATGGATTTTTCCTAGAATGTTTGTTTTATATTTAAAACTATGTTTACATGTTTGCAGATATTTAACAACATGTTAAAGTGATGGTTATATAAGTATTTAATAGCCTGTTATATAATATGAATGATGTACAAAGGAGACGTTATGCTTGCATCTCCCAGATATATTCATTTATGCCAGAGCATTATAATCTTCCTGTGGGTAAACATTTTATGTAATGAATACAATGCTATATGTTGGTTTGTTGAGACAACGTAAATTTGAGAATGCCTTTTAAATCCATGAATGTAGTAAAATGTATAGTAATAATGGTCAGTTTATATAAATTTTGGCTTCAAAAAAGCACTGACTGTAGCTCGAAGAAGATGAGACTACTGGAATGATTGTTTTTGTGAATGTTTTAAGCATGGCCAGTTTGGGATTAACATTAGTAACCATGAAGAGAGACTGTTTAATTCCTAATATTTGTTCCTAAAACAGCTTTTTTAAGGGTTTAAATTCAATGGGGTTGTTTAGACAACAATGATGGTCATATACTAAAGGCAGACAATCAGAAACAGTTATAAGCATAAGTGCACAGGTAGTAAAGGATGAGATGTGGGTTTTTCTGCATGGGGCTTCAAAAGATTGCAAAATAATATTATTATTGGGGAACTACTACTACTACTGATTGGAAATGTAAACCATATTTGGTACAGTAGTCATACTTGTATGCACGATCCATATATTAGCACTGAATAATGAGTAGTCCATTTAAAATGCACACTTCTTGCTAGGAAGTTTTTAGGAATCTAGCAGAATGAGTCTAGCTTTGCGAACAGGTAATGAATCAGTGGTCATGTGATTAGGTGACTTTGGGATAAAGAAATGGATGCTACTTTTAGTAAAAGAAAAAAAAAGAAAAAGGCAAAAAGCATATAACATTCATAATAATCATCATCATCATCATCATCATGATATACAAGTATATCAAAGGAGACATAACACATAGTGGACTTCTCCCAATTAAAAATATCTCAATATGTTATTAGCTACAAGACCTCACTATCTATGACAACCAACACGTAAAAATACACACATTTTCTATACATGACGCACAATCTTTTTGTTTGTCACTTAGTCAGTGCTTGTGGAGACTAGATTTACTAACTACATTACATGTCCTGATCATGAAAGACACATGCAGACTGTACCAATTAAATTATTTCAACATACAGTTCTTTCTTTTGTATTTCATTTTTGCTTGCTGCTGATGCAGGACTAAAGTTTCCCTCAAGTAGCTTCTTTTGAAGGACTAGCAAAAAAGAATAAGATGGGGTGGGTTATTTTGGCGATGGAGATTAAGGCAGGGGCTTTTTGTCATTTGTGCGAGACAAGCCATTCATCCATCCCGTTCTCAGCCAAAAAAAGGCTGGTCCCAGAAATTAGCAGTTTCAGCTCAGCAGCGAAGTCGTCGGGCTGTGAAGGCACAGAGAAATTGACTAATTAGCAATGCGCACTAAAACTTGACGGTTCTCTCTATAACGGCGAGGGAAAGACTCGCTTTTTCTCTCGCCCCCTTTTTCTCCCCTCTTTTCTTTTTTCCATAGATGTTTGAAATCGCAGTCATTTACGCTCGACAGTTTTTACAATAGCCTTGAGCCATAATTTTGCCAGTCTCTCCAGCATCCATACCCCTGCATGGTCTCTCTCCACCGGCCATGCACGACCGTTTCTCTCCCCAACCGTGGATTTCCTATTACTCTCGTTACGACTCACTGAGCCCCAGGCCCAAGGATAATGATGTGTTGTTTCTTGGTAGCATAATTTGTCACACGTATATTTCTTCTTCTTCTTCTCTTGCAGAAAGCACAGCTCCCTCTCAGACTCACACACTTCTTGTTAATTCCGAAGAACAAATGAGCAACGACAACAAATAACGCGAAATAAGACTGTATGAGTTGGATTCAATGACTGTTTTCGAACACCGACTGTAGACTTTTTTTAAATAAAAAGGAAAGGATTTATTTAACCAAGGAGAACAAAGGAAAGTCCTGTGAGAACATTAAGGAGCCGAAGCTACTTTCTTTTCTCTCAAGTCAGGTAAGTTTTGCCTTGTGTTGTGAGGGCTGGCTGCTAACGTCGTTTAGCCGTGCCAGGCGCTTGTAGGTAGAATGTGGCGACGGCGAAAGTGGTAGAAGGTGTCAAGTTTAGCCGCGGCACGTCGGTTTGTTTGATATATTTGTCCTCGTACGAACGTGTCGACACGACGGCGAGCCGGTGTCCGTCGAATAGCGCGGGGGGGTTACCTTATCGAATATTTCCTTGAAACTCGCGTCGTCAACGCAGAGGCGCTTTTTTGTGATGGTCGCCGGAGACGAACTAATTGCTTTTGTATCGGTCTGCGTACGTATCTCAAACGCGTAAATACCTCTGTTAGCGGGGTATGTGGCAAGATAGCAGTACGACGGGTTCAGATAGCAGCCTGAATGTTATCGCTAGTCTGTGTGCATGTAAATAGATTTGCCGTGAGCTGGTTTGCCTCAGCGCCAAAGAGAAGTTGCTGCAGTATGCTATGTGGCTAGTTTGTTTCTGACAATGCGCTTCAGCCCGCAGGGTCCATTTGAGATGAGCTAGTCACGAATGACTGAATGAAGGAAACACAAAGACCATAGCACATAGGTGGACTTTAATCTTGTTACATCCGTACAGTGCAAATTACAAATAGCCACCGCACAGTGAGGTACTGATAAAACCACAGTGTCGTTTTAAAGGAGCTTGGCTGTTGCAGTCATTAAAACTTAAGTCCGGCAACGGTTGAGCAAGAGGGACTGTTGTTTTATTCAGAAACTGAGACTTGCTGTGTAAGTGGACCAATGGCTCCGGCATTGTTTACTTGTAGGAGGCGTGAGCAGCTCCAAAGTCATGTCCAGATCGGGTGACCGGACCTCCACGTTTGACCCGACTCACAGCGACACTCTGCTGCATGGGCTGAACCTGCTGTGGAGGAAGCAGCTGTTCTGCGATGTGACTCTGACGGCTCAGGGACAGCAATTCCACTGCCACAAAGCGGTGCTCGCCTCCTGCTCGCAGTACTTCAGGTCTCTATTCTCCACACACATGCTGAACAGCGAGGGGCTCGGCAGCGGCAAGGACCAGGGCAGCAGCGGCACCCCCTCCTCCTCTCCAGACGACAAGCTCCTGCCCAGCCCGCGCTCCATCAACAACCTGGTGCTGCAGGGCTGCTCCTCCATCGGCTTGCGGCTGGTGCTGGAGTACCTGTACACCGCTAACGTGACCCTGTCCCTGGACACGGTGGAGGAGGTACTATCCGTCAGCAAGATCCTCAACATCCCCCAGATCACCAAGCTCAGTGTGCAGTTCCTCAACGACCAGATCTCCGTGCAGAACTACAAGCAGATCTGCAAGATCGCCGCCTTGCACGGGCTGGACGAGACCAAAAAGCTCGCCAACAAGTACCTGGTGGAGGACGTGCTCCTGCTCAACTTCGAGGAGATGTGCGCCATGCTGGACGCCCTGCCGCCCCCCGTGGAGTCGGAGCTGGCTCTCTTTCAGATGTCTGTCCTGTGGCTAGAGCACGACCGCGAGACGAGAATGCACTACGCCCCGGACCTGATGAAGCGGCTCCGCTTCGCCCTCATCCCGGCTCCGGAGCTGGTGGAGAGGGTGCAGTCTGTGGACTTCATGAGGAGCGACCCCGTGTGTCAGAAGCTCCTGCTGGACGCCATGAACTACCACCTGATGCCCTTCAGACAGCACTGCAGACAGACCACAGCCAGCAGGTAGGTGGTTTACGCACACTCACATGATGTATATCAGTTATAAACAGTATGTATTGATTAACTGTTTGAAAAGTTCACGGTGCTTATTTCTAAGATTGTAGAAAAGCCCTGATGCATACATACCTACATGTATCGTATCACGTATATCTTCCGTCGCAGCATTAACAATATGAATTTGGTCTCATATACTGAGAGAACAACTCTTGTAGCTGTTTTTAATTCTTGTAGCTGTGTTATTGTCAGTGTTTTGCTTGTGTTTGGTACAGTTGGGAAGTAGTTTTGTTTGAGTCACAGGCTTTATTCATATTAAAATCATTTGTATCTCCTATACAGATAAATTGACATGATTGCATGTCAGAGCAGTTAGATAGAATACAATGTTTTCTGTGTTCTGGACATTCACACACACAAACTTGTGTTGCTTTGTTATGTGTCATGCTGTGCTTCTTAGTATGATTTGTTAGTAAATGGGATCAGGAATCTAAATTAAATCATTTTAAAAGATCACATAGTATAATATAGTGTACACAGTATTATCTGCATATAGTTACCAAGTCACTATTTATCAAATTGAAACAGTACATGGCAGAAGGTGGTAATAGCAGCACAAAGTAAATTTGTGAAGAGGATTTAAGATTGAGTGGGGAAAGTACAGTAAAATAAAAGCTACTTGACTTATTTTCATAACTTCCATGTCAGAATAAAATCTTCTCTCCATTTTGATTGTTTTTTTTTGTACCAGCTTTCTTTTACATTGTGCCAAAATTGCATGACAAACTGACCAATAAAAATTGTCCAAAATGACTTAGAATAAAATCTTTCTATTTACTTATATTGATTGTTTAGAATATTTTTTTCCTTCTCCTGTTATGTTTTTTAGAGTTCCAAAAGCAGTGGTATACTGTTTAAGCAATATATTGATAGTAACAACGCACCAATCATAAATAGACAGATATTGTAAGAAGCTAAAAGTCACCATAGTTCACACAGTTACTTATCATAAATGGTCTAATGGTCATTTGTTTTTGGCTAACTTCAGTTACCTTGTAATGATATCATTTCAGTTTTCAAAACCATGTTCAACTACTAAATGCAGAGAAGTAAGCTAAATGCTACCTTACTTGATATGACATCAAACAAAACTTTATATTCATATCTGATCCATACAAATCAGTTGACATGACAGTAACATATTCTGTTTATTCTAGTTTAATCAACTTTTGTGAAACTTATATGCAATTTAAGGATTTATGATTGACACAAAAACAAAAAAGTAACCAGCATCTTTGTATTCATTCTGCTACCTACTCCTGAACAAGATTAAACAAGGTATAATATGATATTACTTCTTTGCTCGATCAACAACAATGCAGAACATACAGCCACAGCTTTACCTGCAAGATGGTAAACCCACCATTCATTTGCACCTGCCACCATAGCTGGGTATTGGTCTGGAGTTCTGACTGCTTGTTTGGGGTTCGAACTATTAAGTCAACAATGGTGTTTTGGCCTGAAACCTGAAATTGCTTTCTAATGCCATCATTTACTAATTATAACAAACGTTTAAGCAGTTTAGCACTTTGATTGAAATAGCTAACACTGTTTTTCTGTCTGGTTAGACTGCCAGATGGCAAGCTGACTTACAGGTTCAAGTTATAGGCAAACACTCAAAGCTCCAGCACTGGTAACTCAGTAACCACTAAGACTAATTAAGAACAAGTACCAATATTTTTTGTTGTGTGAACAATTATTTACACTGTGTCTTTATTTAGAACTCATAATCATCACCTTAATCTTGGACATGACATTTGATTTGAAAAACATTTATTAATTTGTAAGTATTCATTATTATGTTTTCCATTTATTTTGTAGGGTGTTATTAAATGAGTCAAATTACAGATGCACTGTGCTAACATGTCTTTGCTTGGATGTATTTTGGATGGCTTTAACAAGCTTTTGAATTATTCTTGATAGTTTATAGTTGATAGATGGCCTATGAAACAAGAATCCTTGAGAAGTTTCATCTTAATGGTTTGCATTAATCTGTTCTTTCTGTTAAAATGACCAAATGTCTGACTAAAATATTTAATGTTTTGAGCATATGAAGCAACTTTAGACAAATTATTTTTACACTTTGATATTGCATAATCAATATCAAAAGAGAAGTTTAACTGCAGAGAAATGTGTAACTGTTGTGGTGATGTTTGGTAATCCTCACCAGCCCTTGGTGACCATACATCTGCCAGAACATGTTACTATTATTATTTTGAACTCGTATTTTGCATATATTACTAAATTGTGAATGCATTTGAATGATTAGAAGATTGTGTATGATTTACACATGAGTTTTGACCAAACTAAATATACTACATTTATGAATAGAGACAGGAATAGCGAAAGGATGAGAAATAGGTTTATAACTCAGGTTAAGATACAAATAAAAATTAAACTTAAGGTAAAATTGTAGGAAAAGGTTTAAGGAGATGGCTAATAAACTAGCTTAATATTAGCTAATCTTAGATTTTTTTAACCATGTGCAATGTACAACCCATCTAGAATTGCTAATAGACACAAATGAGGTTTCAGTTAGTTATATCAAAAGCCTCTAATGCCAGAAAACTGTAACAGTTTTAAGCTTGATAGAATTGATTGATAGAATTGAATAAAACATATTTATCAATTCCACTGTACAGTCATGTTCTTGGTATATGGATTATTTTAGTTGTTACTCCCATCTCCTTCTACTTTTTAATATTTCAGGATTCGTTCCAACAAAAAAATGCTACTCTTGGTTGGAGGTCTGCCTCCTGGACCTGACCGCCTTCCCAGTAATCTAGTGCAGTATTACGATGATGAAAAGAAGACATGGAAGATCCTTACAAGTGAGTGCCCTAATCTTTCACTGTTCTTTTTTCCGGAAGGATCTTAGCTGCTCGAAGTTATGTCTTACCACAGATTCATCCTGAAGTAAAATAGAAATTCCTGCTCCTTAGATGCTTGAGGTAATGATGTATCACTATCACTTTTAATGTAACTTTTTAATCAGAGCGTGACTGTCTTCACACCATTGTGGAGCTCCATGTCTGGATTCCCTTGCTTTTTTCCTTTTGTAGAAGTCTGCTAGCATTAATTTTAATCTAATGATCTAGTGAGGACTTATCATCAGATGATCACACACATATTGATCTTGAAAATATTCATACTGATGTGCCTTATAAGGGCTATATTAGAGCAAAAAGAATGATTTTTTTTGTGAACACCTGAAAATAAACTTTTTTCTTGTGCTCAGACAACAGATTCAATTGTACTGTAATTGTATAGTACAGTAAGATAATGTTGGTAGTACAAAGTATAATTTGCTTCAAAGCTTAAAGTTGGCATTATAGCATCTCTGTCAAAGTTAACAAACTCCTGTCCAAATTTGTCTACAAAATAGGCAATAAAAACAGATATTTAATACTGTGCAAAAATCAGAGACCATTCTTTATTTATTTCATTTATTTGAACTGTGTGGAAAAATATCCCTGCTGGTTTCTTTGAAAAACTGAAAGCAAGTCTTCTGAAATGAATTAAAGCTATAATAATGGCAAAGGATGGACACACCAAATATTGAAAAAAATATGTGATATTTAGTTGTTGAGGCTTCTGTTTAATTTTCTGTCAAATATATGTTTTCTGGTTTTTGTCCTCTTGCATACTATTGCCATTTTGACCAGAAATTAAATAAATAAAGGGTGAACTTTGACTTTTGCACAGTGCTTAGATGAACTACATAATATATATTTTTCAGGTTTTGCGCCTCAGATTGTCCTTAGAAATGTGGTCTTTTAGAAACAAGACACATATTGGTTACAGGTCTTGTTGTTTAACTCTGGCCATTTTTGTCTAAATGTTAACCAGTGTTAGGCTGGGTTAAAAATACAGCTGGTTACTGATTGTACACTGTCCTCTGTCAGTTGTATAACTCTTCTAAGTAAGAATCATGATGATGTTCTTGGTGTAAAGTGAAGACACAAGTTAAGGACATAACACTTTTAACTCTTAATTGATTGCTTAAAATTCAAAAGTGGTTGTTGTGTAGTCTTTGGTTCCATTGCAAAAATGCTGTGATGAAGACTTCCAGTGAAATTCCCATCTTTACACACTATGTGTGTATTAAAGAATTAATTATGTATTATGATTCTATATCTAGCTTGTCATCACTTGCTGACAAGCTAGGTTTCTTGTTTGTTGAGTGCCATAATAATTTGAAATAATATTTACTCATACAAGAGGATAAATACATAGAGAAATCAAATGCAAGTCTGTTTTTGACATCTAAATAAATAGACTGAACAGTTAATTCATACCTTCTTAGGTTTTGTAGAATGTTTGGAATGTGATAAGAAAATGAACAAGCAGAGGAGCCTGAATAAAGATGCATTTTTGGTGCAATGACAGCTACATACTTGCAAAATACCTCCATATGCACTGTTCAAGTTATTGCCAGCATACATTGGCATTCATTATTGAGCTACATTTGCATCAATATAAGTTACACTCAAAAGGTCATGGGGTGATTTTCCTTTGCTTCATGCACAAGCTTTGAGTGTCAAATGGTCCATGACTGATCGGAATGTCCAAACTGCAGAATCATCCTCCTAACACACCAGCAGCCTGCTGATGGCTTTTTGGTGTGCAGATTATTAACATTCAATCAGAACTTTGGAATGATCCACAACGCAAAAGAAGGAACACGTTTGATTAAGACCTCCATCAGCACTTTTTGCAACTGACACAATGATTGTAGCATGTGAGATTTATCTTACTTTTACATAATGGAGTGAGTGCCATCTAGTGTGCTCATATTGCAGTCTACCACAATATGAACAGAGGTTACCTGAACAGTCTTTTTAATTTATTTTTTAATTATGATTTTTTGTTCTAAATTAGACATTCTATTTTTGGTAACACTTGAATATGATACATATTAGGTACTAAGGTACTAATTATTCATGCAAATTAGCAGTGAAATGCAGTCTATGTTTTGGATGCAACCTAGATGGAATATTAATTGAAAATAGTGCTCTAATTTGACACAAATGTATAAAAATATGCAAGTCTAATTGTGTATGTTGATTGCATTGAGTGTACTTGAATACAGTCAAAGGTTGCATTCTCTTAGTTGAGATTATGTACAGACAACTTAAATAGTTTAAGGAAACTGACTGACTTGAGTTGTTCCTCACTTGTAGCCTACAAGGCATATGTCATATTATTTACAGCAGAGTTTGTGTCACTGGATGTTATGGTGTTACAGTACATAACAGTACTGTATAGTACAGTACAGAACAATACGTTATTTGAACAACGAACAACTAAGTCTTTTATTATATACTCTCCAGGCAGCTGGTCAGAATGATGCTATAATTTGGCTACTTTGTGAATCGTTGATTCAAGCATCGAAATGTCAGAGCATGACTTGCTCTACACAGCACTTTTTCCACAGGAAAAATTTTGGCTCTTGTAGTTTCTGGTAAAAAGGAATACATCACCGTTTCAGACACCACAACGTGCCATACAGATATGTTGTTTGGTTTACACGTGTATAAAAAATATACACTATATAGACAAAAGTATTGGGACACACCTCCTAATTATTGAGCCACACCCATTGCTAACAAGTAGATAAAATTAAGCACATAGCCTTGCAGTCTCAATAGTCAAAAACTGCAAGTAGAATTGTACTGATGAGCTCAGTGACTTTAAATGTGGCACTGACAGGAATCAACCTCTGCCACAAGTCAGTTTGTAAAATTTCTGTTCTAGTTCTGCTCCTGTCAACTGTAAGTGCTATTACTGTGAAATGGAAGCACCTAGGAGCAACAACAGCTTAGCTACGAAGCGGTAGACTAAGCAAACTCACAGAGTGGGGCTGGCGAGTGCTGAAGCACACAGTGCACAGTGTAGGTGGGGGGGCAGTTTGTGGGGAGGGAGTGGTGTAAAGCATGTCGCCACTGGACAACGGTTCCACTGCAGCAATGGAAACGCATTCTGTGGAGTGATGAATCACGCTTCTCTGTCTGGTAGTCTGATGGACGAGTATGGGTTTGGTGAATGCCAGGAGAACATTGCCTACCTGACTGCATTGTGCCAACTGTAAAATTTGATAGAGGAGGGATAATGCTATCGGGTTATTTTTCAGGGGTTGGCCTAGGCTTTTTAGTTCGAGTGAAGAGAAGTCTTAAGGCTTCAGCATGCCAAGACATTTTGGACAATTTTAAGCTTCCAACTTCATGGGAACAGTTTGGGGAAGGCCCTTTTCTGTTCAAGCATGAATGTGCTCCAGTGCACAAAGCAAGGTCCATAAAGGAATGGCTGGGTGAGTTTGGTGTTGAAGAACTGGATTGGCCCGCGCAGAGCCCTCACCTCAACCCCATTGAACACCCTTGGGATGAACTAGAACGGAGATTGCGAATCCAACATCAGTGTCTGACCTCACAAATGCTCTTCTGGACGAATGGGCAAAAACTCCCAAAGACACACTCCAAAATCTTGTAGAAAGCCTTCTCAGAAGAGCAGAAGTTGTTATAGCTGCAGTATGGGGAACAACTCCATATTATTGTCTATGAATTTCGAACGGGATGTCATAAAAGCTTGTATGGGTGCAACGTGTAGGTGTCCCAATACTTTTGTCATATATTCATATATTTTTTGTTTGTGTGGTTTGGTTGATATGGGTGTTTTTTAATAGTGAAAACATTATTTAGCTGATCCTCTTGACCATGCCATTAAAAAAGAGGCTGATGATTTGTGATTTGTCATATGACTCATTGTTTTTTCTCCTCCTTTAGCAGAGTCAGAAGGTTTCAGTGACACTCCAATTGCGCAAACATTGGAAAATACAAGTATATTACTATTATTACTTAAAATATGCTAATACTGCAAATTGATGTTTTTGTTTAAGGAGGTGTAGTGGGACAAGAAAAAGTCACTCTGCTGGTGGAATCTCTCTTTTACCATTAACTGTGCATCAGATTCCTGCAATGGAACAATTCTTCATAGCTTTACCTTTCCAAACAGGACAAGACCACTCTCTATAATCCAGACCCCCATCTTCAAACTTGCCAATCATCATATTCTTCTGCACCATTACAGTATGTTCACACAATATAAGTTTATTACAGTACCGGAGTTAGAATATAGTCAGTAGATGGAATGCTATCTGTGACTTTTTTCAACTATTCAGGCTGATCTCCATCAGTCACAGCTGTGTAAGTGAAAGAGTGAGTGAAAGAGACTCTGCAGGCCTAGACTTCACCTTCTTGACTCCTGTAAGATAAAGTTGTATTATCCCGCCACTCCCAAGCTTTTCTCTGAAGCAGTGCTTTGATTTTACAGTATAAGTCTGACATTTGATTTTGTGCAAGTGGCCAATGGGAAAAGAGTGAGATTCAAGGCTGTCTAATTTTACAGCAACTGCGATCCATCAGGCAGCAGAGGGGTGACAGTGGAAATGAATGATAGAGACAGACAGGTGGCCTAACGTATGACTGATTTATGCAGCAGAGGCACGGGCCAGAGATTTATTGAGTGAACATGATCGTGTTCATTATGACTGCCACCCCAAGACCATTTCTCTCTATTCCAATGGGGGGGTCACTTTAGCAGTAGAGAAACAAAGTTAGAGGAGATAGAGACAGAGCGCATCAGCTACACAGTCCAACATTGCTCTAAATCTACAGCATGAACTATGAAAGAAGAAGGGACAGTAGGACAAAGCTGCTGAAAAACTTAAAAATCACTCAGTAGTTCTTAATCTACTAACATTTGTCTGAACACACAGTGACCCTCTTTTGCAAAATTGCAACAATTTTTTAAAGAGCTTTATTTACACATACTT